TGCTTGGGCATTTATAAAAGTAATGTGAGCTAGCTCTCTTATCAGGAGGGGCACCATGTATAAGCAGCTTCCCGGGGAAATGATAGCTGTAAACAACTGTTGTCTCCAAGGTTTCTTGGACAAAGACTAGAAGGTTGTTGGGGGCTCTACTTTCAGGCCTAGTGGTGGTAATTAACAGAGGCGCATAGAAAAGGGACCAAATGAAAGTGTTTTCCTCCCCACCCCACCCCCAATTTTCCTAGAGCATTTTGTGTGGACCTCACTTCGGTTTTCATTCCACCTTACCTGATGTTATACCTGGGCTTAGAGGGTCCTGAGAAGTCATTTAATCCAACATGCCCATTTAAAAGATGAGTCAGCTGAGGCTTAGGTGAATTAACTTGTTCAAGGTAGGCAGCAGAGACAGGATTCAAACCCAAGTCCTCCAATGCCAAATCCAGTCCTTCTTTCCCCACTGTGCCACACTGGCCTCCCCTCTGTAAACGTTGCATCCTTCAGTAGAATGTAAACTCCGTGAGGACATTTGTATCCATAGTGTCTTGTATATTTTAGGTGGGAGGTGGGATTTCCTAGAGAGGAAACTCCATCCACCAGTGCAGATCATCATCTATTGGGCAGCTTAATAGTCTTACAGAGTTGCCTGGGGCACTTAGAAGTGTAATGCTTGGCCCAGGGACACACAGCTCTTAGGAGGCAGAGGCGGGGTTTGAACTCACATCTTACTGGTTCTCAGGCTGTCTCTCAGAATCTTTCTAAGGTGCTGCTTCTCTATCTCCTGCATGTTGTGGCTCAGTCATGTCCGAGTCTTTGTGACCCTAGACTACACTATCCATGAGGTTTTCTTGGCAAAGATGCTGGAGTGTGTTGCCATTTCCTTCACCAGTGGATTCAGGCAAACCGAGGTTAAATGTCTTGCCCAGGGTCACACAGCGAGTAAGCAAATGAGGCTGAATTTAAACTCAGGTCTTCCTGACTCACCTGGTCCAGCGCTCTATGCACTGAGTCACCTCCTTATCTTCTGCTTGATAGGTATTTAATGTTGATTTGCTAAATGAATTAGAGGTGAAAGGAGGAAATTAATGCCATTCTTGCTGTCCCACTCTCCTGGTCCTGTTAAAATGATGGAGAAGGACCCCTTGTTTTTGAGGTGTTCCAGTCTTTTCTTAGAAATCCCTTCTTTCTAGAGAGAACAGGGTGGGACAAAGAGTACTTTTTGGCAACCTTCTGGTTTCCCTCTAGGATGAATAATGAACAGGCTTGGTTAGGGAGATGGGGGGGGGGAATCAAGCTGTCTAGACCTCCCAGCTGTTTCTCATTAGGAGATACAGCCCTCATTTGGCTCTGCGTGTTGTTTCCAGCCTGAATGAATATGGGGTGACCTCATTCTTCCTGTGACCCATCGGTCACATGGCAATGGAAGGGGCAAAACATGGGCATGTACCTTACTGAGATGCTGACGGCCTATTGGTCCCAGGTCATCTCACTTCTCTTCCTTAAATCCGAGAAGAAAAATGTCTGCATTGTCTAACTCTCAACGACAATCTTCTTCAAGATCTAACTCAAGGAAAAGATGGTTTAGAGAAAAATGGGCCAAGAAGCTGAATGGGCCTTTCATCTTCAATCAATTAGTTAGCATTTACAAAGCCCTTGCTTCTTGCCAGGTACCGTACTACAGACTGCAAGGCACATATGTTGGGGGGGGAGATGTGGAGAACAAAATATAGGTAAGGGTAGTGGGGGTGGTATTAATCCACTGAGCCTCATCAATGGATTCTATAAAATCATAGGATATAAAGGGTAGTTAAGGGAGATGATGAGATGTAAGATGATGAGCCCTCTTCAGGCTCTGAGTGACCCAGTTGCTTACCAAAGGGCAGAGAAACTAGCCTGAAGAATGACCAAGACTGCTCTTTTCTCCACCTACTCACTGATACAGTAGGATGAGGACAAGAGAGTTTAAAAGTGGAGGAATTGGCCCTAGGAGCAATCAAGCTGCAGAAACAGTTGAGAAAAAAAGCAGGAGGTGGAGGAAGAATCTAGCTCTTCACCTTAACTTGGGAGAGTACAGAAAGAGGGAGAGGGGGCAGGGATTTGGGATTTCTTTCCCCTCCCAGTCCTCATTGGCAGTGGCCTTTCTAGCTGGGGGCACTGCGCAGGGCAGTATTGAGGTGAGTTGGGTCCCGCTGTGGAGTCAAGCCAGCCAGAAGATCTGAGAGTCCCAGTAGGCTGTGTGGCCTGAAGAGCAGGGATTTCATGTCCCCAATGCTTAGCATAGTCCCTGGGAAAAGTAGGTGCTTAGGGGCAGCTAGGTGGCACAGTGGATAGAGTACCGGCCCTGAAGTCAGGAGGACCTGAGTTCAAATCCAGCCTCAGACCCAACACTTGACACTTACTAGCTGTGTGACCTTGGGCAAGTCACTTAACTCCAATTGCCTAGAAGCCAAAAAAAAAAAGTAGGTGCTTAATAAATGCTATTTGACTGACTGCCTGGGGTTGGAATCCTGTTAGGGAGATGGCAAGCCCCTTTCTTGTCTTTAGGGTCTGGACTTTGGTCCTTAAAGTGAGTAAAAGTAGCCTAGACTGGGATGTCAGCTGATTCTGAGGCTAGAAGCAATAAATCCTGTGGAGATTATGAGACCAAGGACAGTGGGAGTGATTAGAAGTCATCAGTAGAATCAGCAACATGAGTTACCCTCCTCTGACATGCTTTGGCTATATGCCTTACCCATGTGTGCGCCCTTCTCTATTTGTGAACTCTGTGTCTACTCTTCCTATTGTATGGGGTGTGTGTGTGTGTGTGTGTGTGTGTGTGTGTGTGTGTGTGAGAGAGAGAGAGAGAGAGAGAGAGAGAGAGACAGAGACAGAGAGACAGAGAGACAGAGCGCATGCCCCATCCCCCTAACTCTAGAGAGGAGATACTTTGTTGCCACTGTTCTTACCAGGTAGTTTTGATAAATACCTTTGCTTTGAGCTAATTGTGTGCTTTGGTTGATTAGTTACAGTGAATGCTCTGATGGGGGCTTGTGAGTTATAGTTTTAGGAATTCTGACGTGCTGTGTACCTTGAATAGGGGCATTCATCCTTTCAGGGACCTAACTTTAGAATCTGAATTGGGGGAGTGGGGAGGGGCGCTACATAATGAAATATAAAACATACAAAATAAACACAAAGTAATTAGAGAGGCACTAATGGGGGGGGCATCAGGAAGAGCTTCTTGCCTGAGGCTCTGTTTGGGTTGCACCATGAATGGGCTCAGGGGTTCTTAGGACAGCTCTTCTGTAGGAGGTGGACTTGGGCAGTCCTTCAAAGGAAGCTCAGGTAGGATTGAAAAAAGAGAACATTCCAGGCATGGGGGCAATAACCCTGTCAAAGTGCACAGGTGGACAATGACATGTAGGGAAAAGCAAACAGACCATGGCAGGATTATAGAGTGCATGAGGGGCAGTCATGTGAAATTAGTCTGGAAAGATGGATTACAGCCACTCTGTATTAGAAGTGGGGTTTTAATCCTGGCTCTGAAACCAGCTCTCTGGTCACTACTCCACATTTCCTCTTGTGTAAATGTCAGAGGGCCATGTAGTTTATTCTAGAGACCACAGGGGTTGACAAAAGCTTCTTGAGCAGGGATGAGGTTCTAGAAGAGGATATGACAGCATAAGATGGCATCACCTTGTTGTAATTCTCTAAACTGATCCTGCGTCAACGCTTTACTCTGAGACGGGGAAGAGACGATGAAATATGGGGAAACCTGGGCCCTGAGCAGAAAGTGTTATTGCAGTGAAGGCTATATTTCCTTCTTCGTGAAGGCTGTGGCCACTGACCAGAGACATTTCTGTGGTGTTTGGGAATTTTTTCTTTCTCCTACATGTGGTTCACCCAACACAAATTATGCTAGATTCCAGGCATGTTTCCTTTCTCCTGTCATCTCCTCCCATAAGTGATCACAAGAATTATAAGTTTCATAGAGCTGGAAGAGACTTAGGAAGTAATCTAGTCTAACACCTTTAATTTACAAATGAGGAAATTGGGTCCCAGAGGAGTGAAGCCAGAGATGTTACCAGACAAAGACTTTTCTAGTGTAAATGGAAAGAACGAAATGATTTAAAAAAGATTCCACCCCAAATTAAATGCTATGAAATTACAAGGACCAAATTTGGCCCAGAAGAAGAGATTTGAGAATGGTTTCTCTTTCCTTCTTTGCAGAGGTGGGGGGAAATGGATATGGAACATTGCATATGGTCACATTTGGTTGATGTGTTAGTTTTATCAAATGTTTTTTCTTTTAATTTGTGCGTAAGGGATGATCTAAGGGATGGCTCTTTGAGAGGAAGAGGGATATATTGGGAAATGAAAGTTGGCAAATGCAAAAAATTTCAATAAGTTAAATTTTTAATTAAAATTTAATTTTTAAAAGAACAATAATTCAAATCTGGCCTCAGACACTTACTAGCTGGGTGACCCTGGGCAAGTCACTTAACCTGGATTGCCAACCAAAATCCTCTTCCCAGATCCTGTTCCATGTCACTCCCCCAAAACAGTCTGCGCTCCTCATTAGCAATAGCTAAGGGCAGCTAGGTGACCAGTGGATAGAGTGCCAGCCCTGGAGTTAGGAAGACCTGAGTTCAAGTCCGGACTCAGATGTTTCCTAGCTAGGTGACTCTAGGCAAGTCACTTCAACCTGTTTGCCTCAGTTTCCTCATCTGTAAAATGATCTGGAGAAGGACGTGGTGAGTATCTTGGCCAGGAAAACCCCCAATGGGTCATGGAGAGTTGGACACGACTTAACAACAACAAAGTGGTAGATGAGAAACCAAAGGCAGGCCTTTCTTCCTGCCTCTTTGAATCTATGTGTTATCAGAAGAATCATCTGGTAACAGTCTATGACAAATCCTGAATCATTTCCAGGAAGGACTTTTCATCTTTTATTTCTTGCCGTTTCTGGGTAAACGTGAAAGCTTTCACTCACTCGGGGGTGTCCTCTCTCTCTTTCACTTCTGCAGATGAAATCATGCAGCAGGAAATCCGGCCCCTCGCGGCGGTGGATATCATAGAACAACTCCACAGACAATTTGCCATCCTATCAGGTAAGAGTGGGGCTCGGTCACCATGGAAACAGGCGAGGAAATCCCAGCCTAGGGAACACCTTGATGAGCATCCTCCCCTCTGTTCCAAACACCCTAAATCCACACCCAGGACCGGTCTGTGCCATTGTCCACCCAAGCTGGGGAGTGGAGGATAGGTTCAAATGAATGGCTTTAACCTGCGGTGTGCTGGTAAATGTTTAACCACCATTTCTCCCAGAAAAAAATTGCACGCAGGACATGCTTTTAGTTTAATTTATATTATTAACACTTTCTGAAGTCTGGACAATCCACAGAATGATAAATCAAGTCCTGCTTCATTGTGTTTGCCAATCTCCGAGGTAAAAATGCTTGTGCTAGAAATTTAACTATCAGGCTCTAGAGAGAGCCTTCGGCTTACCCCTGGGCCCGACTTCTTGGTAGTGGGAATGGTTTGGTTTCATCCAAGCACTTTGGTTCATAACCACCTAGAGAGGGATGCAGAAAAGGGTGTGCGAAAAGAGACAATGAACAACCACTCAGGTGACAAGCATTTATTATGCACCTGCTGTGTACCAGGCACTACCGTAAGCCTTGGTGATACAGAGACAACATTACAATTCCTGCTCTCAGGGGGCTCTCAGGGGGCTCACGTTCTAGTAGGGGAGGCAGAATACAAACAAGTACATGTCAGATAAATATAATGTAAATAGAGGATAATCATCCCTCTGATCTACCCTTGGTTTTCTGTCTTGGCTTTGTATTCTTTTTGTTTGTTTGTTTTTGGTGAGGCAGTTGGGGTTAAGTGACTTGCCCAGGGTCACACAGCTAGTGTCAAGTGTCTGAGGTCGGATTTGAACTCAGGTCCTTCTGACTCCAAGGCTGGTGCTCTATCCACTGCGCCACCTAGCTGCCCCTTGGCTTTGTATTCTTAATGTCCATCATGGTGTCTTGTATAGAGTAGGCACATTGGTACGGTAGAAAGAACACTGGCATGGAGTCAAAAGTCCTGTGTTCAAATTCTACCTGAGACAACTACTACATTCATGACCTTGGACAAGTCTATTAAACCTTTTTGAGTCTCTGTTTCTTCATCTGTAAAATGAAGGGATATGGCTTTTGAGGTCCCAGCTCTAGACCCAAGATCCTAAGTCACTTCTCCAGGCCTGTTTCTACTCTGTAAAATGGGGAGATTGGAGTAGGTGACCTCGGAGGACCTTCCCAGCTCCAGAGCCATGATCTCATGTTCCTAATAAATTCTGCAAGAGCCCAGTCTTGGTAATAAAAGTTCATTAGAAAATGTTGGCGGCGGGAGGTTATTATCTAATCTCCCCCTTTCATTTCTCAGATCGCAGGAAACAGGGAGTTCTGAGGGGATGGAGGAGGCGTAGGCCAGATGAGATTTCTCGATCTCATAACTACCTCATAAGGGTTGGGTTTTTTTTAATTTTTATTTTATTCTGAACTTAAGAAATAAAGCAAGCACCTCCATAAAGAAGTAGGATAGAAAAACAGAAGACTGCATCTGAAATTGCAAATTCATTATATATAACTTGCTATTCCTTTCAAATATACAACAAAGTTATCATATAACTCTCCCCCAACTTCGAGATGGCTACCATTAGACGCAAATCTGTATGCGTGTGTGTGTATGTTCATGTGTATATATGTGTATACATACATCATATATGTATGCGTACGTGTATACACACACACACACACACACACATATATATATATATATATATATATATATATATATATAAATATGAATTCAAACAGCATCTTCCTTTGTAGGATCTTTGCAGTTTATTGGGTATTTACGATAGAATAACTTGGTCGCTCAAAGTTGTTCTTACAACAGTCCTGCTGTTACTGTATACAGTGTTCTCTGGGTTCTGCTCATTTTGCTCTTCATTATTTCATGGAGGTCTCTCCATGCTTGTCTAAGATCATTGAGCTCAGCATTTCTTATAGCAGAATATATACCACAATTTGTTTAGACATTCTCCAATTGACAGGCATCTCCACAATTTCTAGTTCTTAGCCAGTATCAGATAGTTACTACCTTATATAGTTTGAGATATATCACTAAACTTCTTTCCTTTACATTTTTTCCATTAGTTCCTATGATATTCTTGACCTTTATTCTTCCAAATGACTTTTGTCATTTGTAAAGTAAAATGATTTAAGGAATGGCTCTTTGAGAGGAAGAGGGATATATTGGGAAAAGAAAGTTGACAAATGAAAAAGATGTCAGTAAGTTAAATGAGTAAAATAATTTTTTGGTAGTTTATTTGGGATGGCATTGAATATATAGATTAATTTTGGTAAAAATGTCATTTTTGTTATATTGGCCCTGCCTACCCATGAATGATGAATATTTCTCCATTTATTTAAATCTAATTTTATTGGATAAGCGTTAGTTTTAAGAATTATTTCAAAACTGCCTTGGGAGGCAGGTGCTACAGGTATTATTATCCCCATTTTATAGTCGAGGAAACTGAGGGCCAAAGTAACTAGCCAAGAGTCACATAGCCAGTGACGTTAGAGACAGGATCTGAACTGGGAGGGCTCCTGACTCCAAGTCCTATGCGCTCTCCAACTCTAGAACACTGCCTCAAAGAGCCATCGAAGTATGCCATTTAAATGTTGGCATCGTGTTTCTCTCTCTCTCTCTCTCTCTCTCTCTCTCTCTCTCTCTCTCTCTCTCTCTCTCTCTCTCTCTCTTTCTCACACACACACACACACACACACACACACACACACACACACACACACACACACATATATCACAGTAGAGCATGAAGGAAGTAGGAAGAGCATGGGGCTGTCAGCCAACAGCTGGAATACCATGTGCTTAATTAGCCTCTGATGCTACAGCCCAGGCAGAAGCACAGGTCTTGTTTTATCAGAGAAAGTGGAATTATCTAAACATTCTCCTGATAAAAATTCAGTTAAACAAACAAAAAAAAACCCCACAATAAGTCAAAGAGGTTTGGCCAAATGGGATCAGAGACGACTTTTTCATTTTCTTTCTTTTTTTTAAAGTTTTATTAATGTCCTTTGTATTTTTTGCACCATTTTGTATTTTTCAACGTGTACTACTCTTCTTCCTGGATAGAAACCTGTGTTGTTTTAAAAAAAAGTTGAATAAAACCAACTGACATGGTTCCATATCTGCCAGTGTATTCTATATCCCTAGTTTCCTTCCTTTTCTACCAAGAAGAGGAAATGTGTTTCATCATCTGTTATCCCAGGATCAAGACTGGTCTGGGCAATGAATCAGATAGATTTCAGTGTACTTTTTTTTTTTTTTTTGGTGAGGCACTCGGGGTTAAGTGACTTGCCCAGGGTCACACAGCCAGTGAGAGTGTTATGTGTCTGAGTCCGGATTTGAACTCAGGTCCTCCTAACTCCAGGGCCGGTGCTCTATCCACCGCACCACCTAGCTGCCCCTCAGTGTACTTTTAATTCAACTGTCATGATTATTGTCTATGATGTTCTCTTGGTTCTGCTTCTCACTCTGCATCAGTTCATGCAAATCTTCCCGTGTTTCTCTGAATTCCTCATATTCGTCATTCCTTACTCGTATCCCCTTTCCATCCAATGCCCACAGGTTGCTCAGCCATTCCCCAGTCCACATGTATTTTGTTTTAAGTATTTTGATGCTCTCAAAGGTGCTGTTATGAATATACCAACCCTAAACCAACACAGATTGGCATCTCCTCTGTAGATTAGAGTTTTACTTAAGAGAGTTTCAGGGGACCCTGTGACTTGTATGGGCCAGGGGCAGGACCTGAGCCTGCTCATAGGATCATAGATCATAGGACTGGGAAGGAACTTGGAGGCCATCAAGTCTAACACCCCCTTTTTTTACAGATGAGGAAACTGAGGCACAGAGAAGTTATATGGCCTTCTTGACTCCAAGTCTGGCTCCTTAATAATTCCAGCCCTTTCCCATTCTCTCTGCAGAGTTTGCAGAGCTCAAGGTGGTCTCATTTTATAATCAGGGGAATAACAGGCTGGGGAGTGGGGCTGGCCTTTTCTTTGGCTTATCTAGGGAGCCTGACTCAGACAAGAAAGCTAAGAATCTCTTAGCAGAAGATAGCCTTGCAGCTCCCCAAGAGAGACCTGTGTGAGCCTGGGGAGAACCAGAGAGCAAGCTGTGCAGCAGAAGGTGGAGGGGGTTTTTTGCATTTTTTTTTTTAAACCAGGCAAAGCTAGACAGTGAGGTCATGGATCCCTTCTCTGCCCTGTGTGGTTTTGGCGTCTGCCAGCAGAGAACAAGGAAGCTGGATGGAGCTCACTGGGTTTAGAATCAGAAGATGTGGGTTTAAATTTTACTTCTGATGCTTATTAATGCTGGTTATTATGGTTTCAATGGCCTCTGGGCTCCCTTCTGGCTCTAAATTGAGGTGCCCAGGATCTTTTCAGGATTTCTAAGTCAGACAAAGCAACCTGGCTGGGAATGGCAGCAGGCAGTGGCTCTTGATGAGAGCCAAGCTAGTAGGAAGGCAAGGAGGATGCCCATGGGCTTGGGACATGGGTTGCCCTTGACTTTCACCTTCATGACTTGGCCTCAATTATGACTGTGTTCACTGCCTACCTCCCTATGGAGGTGATCTATGGTCTTATGGTATATATCACTGGAAAAGGAGGTAGATAGTTAAATATCAATGATGAGTTGATTGCTAGGATCATAGATTTGGAGCTGGAAAAGATATTAGAGGTATTCTGGTCTAACCCCCTCATTTTATAGATGAGGAAACAGACCCAGGCAGATTGAGTGACTTGCCTAGGGTCACACAGCTCATAAGGGTTGAACTGAGGTCTTCCTGACTCCAAGTCCATCACTGTCTTTATCTACTGGAGTTTTGGAGGGCTGCACTGGTATCCATAAATCACTAGAAATGTAGAGGCAGGTCTCTGGTATAATGGGTAGTTTCTCTATGGAGGATTTGTGGAGGAGTATTGGGTAAGAATCACATGGGATGAAAAAGCAGACATGGGATTCCATCTGG